CTGCTTCTGCTGCTGCTGTTGTTGTCGTTGTTGTTGTTGTTGTTGTTGTTGTTGTTGTTGTTGTTGTTGTTGTTGTTGTTGTTGTTGTTGTTGTTAGTTTTGTTGCTATCATTGTCTTAGTTTTCGTTAAACTCGTTGTGCTCTTAGTCCTCCCTGATTCTGAAGTCATTTTTCCTAGTATTATTGTTAATGCCAATTCTGCTATTGTTGATGCGTCATTGCTATATTATTATTCTTTTGTTGTTGCTGCTTCTATAGCCATCGTCAAGATCATCGTCCCAGTAAATTACCGAACAAAAAATCAAGCATCAAACAAACCATACCAACAAATGAACAAGAAAAACAACAACAAACCAATACACAAACCATACCAACAAAAACAAACAAACAAACAAACAAAATAAATAAACAAATAAATAAACCATACCAACAAGCAAACCAGCATACAAACCAACCAACAAGTTTAGTTTTTTAGTAAGAGTTTTATGGTACTTCCAACACTATAAACTATAAGGTCATATATTTTTAAAAAAGAAGGAGGCAAGATCAGGACGATAGGGGTTTTTTTTATAGGAAAGAAGGAGCAAAACACACCAGAGCACCCACCAATCCCCAAACAAACAAATAATCAAACAAACAAACAAACAAACAAACAAACAAACATCAGCACCCTTCCTTACCGGCAAAGCCTACGGGACATCGACAGGAGAAGATCTGCGTGGGGTGCACGGGCCGGAAGAGCACGGTGGGCGAGGAGATGAAGGGGCGACCCACGCCCTTCTGTACCACGGTGTGGCACGCCTCGTTGTTGATGCACGGCTCTCGGAGACACAGGTTGTCGTCAAACGGCAGCACCTTTTGGGGGGGGGGGGGGAGGAAGATATTTTTTTTTTAAACAGCATTATTCTTATTATCTACTTGGTTTCTTTTTCGTTTTCTTTTTTTTTTCTCCCTTTTTCGTCCTCTATTGTCGTTGAGCGACAGGCAAAAAAGTTCATTGGACACACACTGCGGAAAGAAGCATCGGAGAATATTGTAACAACGGGAAAATTTGATGGAAAGAGAGGCAGAGGCAGACAGAGGGAAAAAAGACTGGACAGGTTGACAACATGGCTGGGAACAGCAATAACGACAGACACCATCGCTGCAACGCAAGACAAAGTCAAGTGGAGGTCCATGATCGCCCACGCCAGTCGGCAAGGCACCGGATGATGATTGCCGTTGAGCATCGAGGAGACGCAGTTGGGTTTTTTTTAAGGTGGACCATAATCTGTGGATTCGAACCAGGACCAACCGCATCCTAGCTCAGTATGAAAGCATTCATGTACCTATCGGTGAACCGCTAGAACACCTGGCCCAGTAATTGCATCAACAAAAGTACGAACACATTACAGGCAGGACTGAGGCGGCAGTTAACCGGGGACGTTTGATTAAAGCGGGACTGCGGGGTTTATGTCCGCTCTCTCTCTCTCTCTCTCTCTCTCTCTGTCTCTCTCTCTCTCTCTCTCTATGTCTCTCTCTGTCTCTCTCTCTCTCCCTCTCTCTCTCTCTCTCTTTATCTCTCTCTGCGTGTATCTCTGTCTATCTAACCCCACTCCCTCTCTCTCCCTTCATACTTCATTCTTTGTCTCTCCCTCCCTCTTTCCTTTGTCTCTCTCCCACTCCACCCCCAAATATCTCACTGTCTCTCCCACCCCCCACCCCAATCTATTATCTATCTCTTTCCTCTTAACCACATTTTCCCTTTTTATCTCTCCTCTTCCCTCTCCCTCTCTGCCTCTCTTTCTTCTCTCCTTACCCTTCTGTTCTTTCTCGTAACACACGGGGAGCGTGGGGGAAGAAGTATGGAGCAAGCTCTGTTTTTATGACCGTGTCTTTTGTGTCCTTTGGTGTTTTGTGGCGAGCGACATGTAAGGTTGCTACGGGAGGCAACACGGGGGAGATGTGGTCATCAAGACATGATTGAGGGTCTCTCTCCCTCTCTCTCTCTCTGTGTCTCTTTCTTTCTCTCCCCCCCTCTCTCTCTCTCTCCCTCTCTCTCTCTGTCTCTTTCTTTCTCTCCCCCCCTCTCTCTCTCTCT